CCAATCAACTAGCCAATCAACCAGCCAATCAATCATCCAGCCAATCAACTAACCAACGAATCAACCAATCAATTGTTGCAGTTATTAAAAACAGACAGAGGCGTTCTGTGGCGTCAGACGCATGTTGAGACGGCCATTTTTTACATCAGCAAAGAAGTCGACCACCTTATAAAAGAAACTGAAGTACTGATATCGATGTCGTTGGCGTTTATGATGAGGATGATGATGTTCTTGGTGGTGATGATGATCGAATTCTAATCAACAAACCAACAAATGAATGAATGAGTCAATGAATCAATCAATCAATCATCATCCAACCAACTAACCAACCAACCTTCCAACCAACCAACCAACCAATCAGACAACATTCACGGTCCAATTAGAGCAAGGGGATCGAACTAAAGCCATGAAGAGACTAAGAGTTCCGCCTTTGGGAGAGAAGGTATCGTCATCATCATCGCCACCATAATCATCATCATTATCACCACTACCGTCATCATGGCCACCATCATCAGCATCACCATCATCAGCATCACCATCATCATCGTCATCATCATTATCATCATCATCACCACCACAAGCAAAATCCATTCACCACGTTTCGAGTCGGTTTATTCTCAGGCATCTTCATCGTCCTCGTCGCCGTCACCATTGTGGCCGGTGAGTGAGTGAGTGAGTGAGTGAGTGAGTGAGTGAGTGAGCGAGCGAGTGAGTGAGCGAGCGAGCGAGTAAGTGAGTAATGATGATGATAATAATAATCAGAAGAATAACAATTATCCCCATCTTCATTATTTTTCGTTTCCATTATTGAATGTCCAAAGACATTATCACGTCGTCTTCGTTTTCATCATCGCCATCATTTTTGTGATCATCATCATCATCACCACCATCGTCGTCGTCATCATCATTATCTCTTCATGATCATTACCAGGAATAGTTACGGCCAAGGAACATGAGGGAGATTGGCAGCCAGCTTTGAAAATGTTCAGAGGTATCATCACCATAATCATCTTCATCATCGTCATCATCATCGTCTTCTTCATCTCGTCACCACCATCATCATCATCATCGCCAGGAAGTTTCCTCGTCTTCCTCTTCCTCTTCCTGCTGGGAGTGAACACGTACGGCTGGCGTTCCTCCGGGGTCAACCACATCCTCATCTTTGAACTCGATCCTAGGCATCATCTCACTCATCAGCAGTTTCTAGAGGTTGGTTGGTTGGTTGATTGGTTGATTGATTGATTGATTGATTGATTGGTTGGTTGGTTGG